TTTCACGTATCACTTGCATGTTTCCATGCCTGTTGCTCAAGGTTCTAGCAGAGTACGATCTACAGCTGTGCGCCTGTAGTAAAAGAGACTCCTGTGTGCCTGTGTTCCTATACGCTTTAGCGAGGGGATACACGCCCAGGTTACATCTCACCCCCCGCAAATTCGTAGATTCTTCAATGTTGCGCGTCCGCCGAGGGTGCTGTGGGGAATGGAGTGATGGGCGAGGGCCTCAGGCGTACGCTTGCGGCCTGGTGCTTGGAAGAGAATCAGAAGGACGATTCGGTTTCGAATCGGGTGTTCGACATGCTCGTACGGTTGTCGAGGAATACCGGGGGAGCTACTAGACGGAGTGCCGATGTTCCTCGGCTGCACTGGTTTCTGCTTGTGATTCCTGTAAGGTTTTAGGACTGGCATGTTTTCAAAGTGGAGCACCGAGCTGGTACATTGCAACAGCAGTAAAAGTGCCCGATGGCCTTTGGCTTTGGTCAGGAGTGGTGGCATGCGGCCCATAAACTCAGCCCTCGGCATGTCCGGTGGCTTCGTCTCGTTTGGCTGTAACTCGCAGGACATTGCAGTGGCAAGTGCTTGCGCTGGGCAGCGTCAGGGTGATCTGTGCCAAGCCAGCGATAAGGTGGAATGCAGACCGGTGGCATGCCGGGCAACGTTGTGGCAATGCTCCTGCCACAGACTCTTGCAGCCAGGGAGAGTGCGCAAAAAAGCAACTAAAGCAGAGCTATGGTGGTTGTGTACTCCTCCAGGTCGACAATGCCTCGTATGGTGCAAGGCCTGATGGTGTGCCAAGTTGGTCCCAAGAGGGAGTGGAGTTGCTCGCGTTCTTGAGCTGTCGCAGGTGCGCCTGGTACCTCCACAGAAGCTGCCGGCGCTTCAGCAAAGTGCGAAAAATCGGCATTGTCCGTGATCGCTAAGCTACTGTAGAGCTTAAAAGCCGATGGAAGGATGCCATAGATGCGGAACGCACGCAAGGTCATGGCACAGGGCTGTGCCGTTGATGGGCAAGGCAAGAAGGGCTGTGTCCACCCGTGCGCTCAACCGATACTGCCTGTTTGGGAGGCCAGTTTGCATACCCTGGCTTCGGACAAGGGATGATCCTGTCGTGGCCTTAGCCACTTTACTGTTGCCCCTCTTTCCGGGTCGAAGGCCTGAAACTTGGCAAGTGATGCAGGTGAGTTCGCTAAGTTTACAAGTTTACAGATAACAGGTATCGGTATTGGCGTACCAAGCACAAAGCCCTGGCTCTATGCCGATTGTAAGGTGGTGTGCGTGGTTCCATGCGGAAGCCCTGACACGCCTCAAAAGCCTCAGTCTCTACAACTCCTCAGTTGATGCGATACTACGCTAGAAAGCTCGGTCTGTTGTATACTGCACTTCGCCGTCTGCTCCTATAATTCCCTGTTCCGGCTTGGCCGGTGTTGGGCTGCATGCGGAGGAGTCCAGCCCTTTCTGCAACCTAGAGCGTAAGAGGCATCAAGCAGAAACAGTGCAAAGCAGCAATGCAATGAACACCGATGGTTTCCTTAGTGATGCAGTCTGCCTCAGGCAGCCCATGCAGACGTTTCCTGGTGCACAGTTGCACCTGGTACCGGTAGCTTCAGCTGCTGCCGGCCGAGACCTCATCGGCATCCACTGCACCGCAGAGTTTGGAGTTGCCGCTATGTCTTCATCGTAGAATCGCAGCTGCATCATCAGGGAACAATACGCGCTTCCGTGGCAGAATAAAGCCTGGAACCTATTCACTGACAAAGCAAGGCTGCTGCAGCTTGACATTCTGGCTTTGCGGAGGTCGTTCAATGCGAAGCAAGGATTCGGCTTCATAGAAAACTCAGAGGCATTCGCAATCTTCGGCAGGACGGCAGCTGAAGTGTGGCTTTGCCTGACTGACACTCTTCGTCAGTGGACACGTTGGCTGAGGGACGTCTTCCTCCACAAGGCACAGATCGGCAACCTTAAGGTTGGGACTGAGGCCGATCCGGATCCGGATGCCAACGGAAGCGACTTGCTTGATCCAAGTCTCGTGCAGGTGACCTACACAGTTGAGATGAACAAGTTTGGTATGCCTCAGGCGGGACATGTCCACATTGTAGCTGTTCCGACGTGAGCTCCCAGCGTGAAGGCACGCGATCTGGCCACTCTGGATGGGAAACCTCCTGGCCCTCCGCCTGCCAGCGTTGCCAAGGCGCGATGCGCATGGGAGAAGCTCGTGCATCAATCATGCGCTCGAAAGGGTGGAGCAAAGCCAAGACCATCTGCCAAGAAGAAGCCGAAGGCAGCAGCTACTGCAGTGCGAACGTTTACCTCACCTGAAAAGTCCTCGAGAAGGGAAATTTGAAAGTAGTCGTGTTGGACACGCTCTAGCTGTAGCTGAGAGACGAGGGTCGTCACTCGGGGACCCATTTTGTGTCCCCCGCAGCTCCACATTGGTCAAGACTTCTCGAGCCAGCAAAGATACCTTTCGGGCTGCGATCCCCCAACGTCAAGCCGCCTCGAGCGGCAAGGACGAAGATGGTGCCAATCCAAGGAAACCAGCGCCCAAGGCCGTCGAGTGCTGTGCCGATTCTGCCACGCCTCGATCTCGTCCTGACAGTTCAGGCCGGTTCAACGGAAATGGCGGGCCTTACAGGTCACCTCCCCGGGCGGGGTGGGAGCTGCAGTCAGTTTGAGCGACCTCGCAGCATCAAGGTCGTGGGGCCAGCAGCCCAGATAACCCAGATCCGGAAGCCGAAGTGTCGGAGAGCTCTGTCTCCCAGGGCAGTGAAGCGACCTCTGCTCCCCTCGCTGCTAACGCTGCTGCAGGCTCCGTGCTGTGGCCCCCAGCTGACATGAAGAAATGGCGGCTCCTAATTGGATGTGACACCTTGGCCGGTAACTGGCAGCCTTCCGCACACTTGGGCTTGCCGGCCCATTTACAGACCGCGGACTTGGGAAGTGCTGTCCACACAGAAAGTGTAAACAATTTGATGAGCCGGGGTCGGCCGCAGTTATAAACGTAGCAAGCCGTCCACTGCTTCTGCGGGTCAGGATTGTGCTGGAAGAAGACTTTGGTTGTAAACGCTTCGTGTCGTCTGCCTCGGCCCGATCGCAGGTGAAGAGTGCCCAATGACCAGCAGTTTCAGTGTGCACTCGACGACGGGTGGGCGGGTGTGGGAGCGGGGGGCTCCGGGAACTCCCGGGGTAGCATCTTTTTTCGGTTTGCCGGGAAACGGACGTGAAATGCACGTCGCCCCTGCACCACCCTTGTGGCTTCCACCAACCCCACTTCTGCAGTCAGAATATCTCGTCGACAGGGCTTCGAAGCCAAAATCCAATTTAGGGTGGGGGGTATGGGTGCCGTCTGAGGGGACGCACACTGGAGAGGGAAGCTTGCATGCGCGGTTCCTGACCTATTGAGCATGGACATTTGCAAAGTTCGCCGGCAAGAGCTTCACCGCATACCAGGCCCTGCAGAAATGAGTGCGCAATGATACGAGCTGTCTGTGATGATGTAAATTTCTCGTTCTTTTTTGGCGTTGGTGCCACTCCAGCGTGCCGTGCCGTGCGGCATCTGCAGATTGCATTGGTTTGCACAGACTCTACACTTTCATGTTAAGATACCGAGCAACCAGAGTTCCGAGGCTGTGCAGAGCCTGCGTGTGTAGTATTTCGCTGGGCTTGAGACCACGACTCTTGCCTCGCTACTGCAAGATGGGGCCTTCAGCCGCGTTTTTGAAACAGCTCTCAGAGTCTCATCGGGCAGTCAGATGCTGCGCTTCAGAGTTTCTGAAGTGTTTTGCTGCAGCTGTCATGGCTCATTTTTTTCAGCCAGTAGTGATTCGGACAATTGCGCACTGGGCTTGGCAGTTGCTTGAAGAGAATCTGCGAGAGGTGCCTGTATGGTGTCGGGCGGAAAGCGGGCAAACTGAGGTCAATAGTGGAAGTCCATTTGTGTTATGGGCTCGGGCCCTAAGCCTTCTGTTGGAAAGTCACAGCACATCACACAGCGGTTTGGTAGGAGTGTGGGGTCTAGTCTAAGGCATGTGGTGGTGTCAGGCGGTTTCTTTAGATGAGAGCGGATACTTCAGGAGGCAGCCACTCTGCTGCAGCAGAATCTGAAGAGCCTGCGCCAAAGGACCGGGCTCAACACTTCAGTCCTGGTTCCACGGGTCGTTACTGAAATGCAGGATGAGGGTGGGAAATGTACAATCAACTTCAAGAAGAGAAGGTTATCATCATGTGTCGTCTCAGCAGCATGGGCGAGTTTCGGGTGATCGGACGCACGGTTGCGATGTGAGACTGAGCTTCGCGCCGTGAGGAAGAACCAGCGCAGTCCTCAGAAGAGCATTCCGCGGAGCCCCGAGACTGCCCAGCGCAGGATGCTTAGTTTCTCTCACCTGTCCGATTTGACACTTGTTTTGAATGCTCTGTATCTGCATGTTGCAGCAGGTCATCCTCTCAGCCTTCAAAGGGAAATGCTGATGAGGCACCTGTGACAAAGCTTTGCAGTTTGGCGCTAGTATTATAGTGCAAGACCGGCAGGGCGAGCAGCTAGCTTCCGTTGCAGAGCTCTCGACAGAAGCATCGATCAAGGCTCCAGTTTTGTCTGAAGCCGCCAAGTAGATAGCCGTGGGAGAGCTCCCGCCTAACAGAAAGATTTTTCAACAGTGTCCGAACTTCCGAACCCTGAGTTGCCACATTCCAAACCCGATGGTCTCTCACGGAGCGTAATATGCTTATATATGCTTGCCATTGTCAGGTGGACCCCGCAGAGATAGAGACGGTGCCAGCACGGGAACCGGAGCCATCAAACGATGCAGATGCGGTGAGCCGGTGAATGCCAAGCACTGAGGAATTGGAGCGTCTGTGCATTGCCAGGCCCCCGTGGATGCCTCCCTCGAACCGGAGGGCTCCGAGCGAGATGCCGCGCCGGAGGCCGCGAGATGCCGCGAGCACGGGTTCTCTCAGAGTCGCACATCTGGCCGTTCTCTTCAGGATCCCCAAGCGGTAACGCAAGCAGAAGACGAAGACGAGGCATCCTGGCGTGAGGCAGCCTCGTGCAGTTCTACGAATGGCAAGCCTCTGAGGCCCTCGGTCATGATCTACTCGACCAGGACCAGGACCAGGACCCTGACCAGGCCGGATAAAAAAGGATTTTCCAACTCTACAGTCTTTGCATCGTCTCTTCTGCCAGGCACATCCCGCGGCATCAGATGCCCCAGAGGCCCGGGTGGAGCGCGTTGCTGCGACCACATCACGTTGCTTACCGTCTTGAGGGCAAGAACGCCCGCAGCTTAGAGCAGCAGATGTCGAGCGGCCGGCCTGCTTCCAAAAGTCGCGATTTAAGAAGAGACCAGCGAGACAAGACTAGTCGTCTTTCTTCTCTCTCTCTTCTCCCTTGCGATGGCTCCTTGCCGCCAGGCTGAGACCGACGGACGACGAGCGCACGGAGATCTCCAAGAAGATTTCTTGGATCCTCCGGCACGGAGCCAAGAAGGCGCCACTGCCCCCTGTCTGCTCTGCGCAGTTTGAGGACTGCCGTCTCTTGAGCTCTCGAACCTCGGCTCTGATTCGTTACAGACAAAAGGGAAACCACAGTTCAGTCCTTGAGCTCCGTTATACTTTTATGCTAGCCTCCTGCAGCTTAGCAACTTGCAACCACACATCGTCCCATCGTCTCTCATGGAAGAGCCGCTTTCCCCTCTCGCAGCTGCCCACTCGCGGCGCCCGAGCCAGCCGCGTGCAGCGCAGGAGGTATCACTTCATGTGACAGATGCGAAGGTGAAGAGAAGATGAACCACGGCTGTGCAGCGAGGTTGTCGGCAAAGAAAGACCTGCTTCGCCATTGACTATTGCCCACAGCAGACATGTGGCATCTTGACTTTTTTGTGCCGTGCCTACTTGCATTTCATGTGCTGCGGAACGCAGATCACGAATCAGAAGCACCAAGGACTCGCATCAAGCTTTCTCCAGAATGAATTCTACCAGCAGCACAGGTAGCCAGGAAGGACGGACAACTACTCCTGGCAATGGCACAGAAGTGCCCACAAGAACCTCCGTGTGTAGGCCGTGCTGGGATGTCGCCGAAATCATTGGCGCATGCCACCGACCATCCAACTTGGACGAGACCAGAACCTGACCAGCGGAGGCCGCCTTGCCCTGAGGATGGCCGCCATGGTGACCGAAATGCAACGGGCCCGGACATGCCCCAGCCAACGCACATTGCCTTGGTTTTCAGGTCTGCAGTGTCTACGGATTCGGGCCGCCTTGCTGCAGGAAGTTGTGTGACTTGACAGGTGCTTTGACTTTGTCCACGTTTGAGCAGCATACCAAGGACATCGCCCGCCGTTGTCACCGTTGTCTCATACCCACAGCACAGCTTACACCCGGGAGCATGCCGGAGACAGGCTTTCTTAAGCCTGTGCCTTCGAGTGTGTACCAATCATGCAGAGCTGCTGTGCAGGCGTCCTTCTCACGATGTGGAGGTATCTTCAGCGCTGCAACGGCCTTCGTCTCCACTGTCCCAAGCGCATAGCCAGCAGTCGTCCATAAGAAAGCTCGGGATTCCGCCCGATTCGCGAAAAGCGTTTGAGCCTCTCGCGACCAAGCCGGAGGCTGGCTAGCAAGTAGCGGTGGAGCATGAAGGAGTAAATGACTCCTGAAAGTGGTTGGAGTGTATGTCGGCCAAGCTTCGGGCAAAGGGCTGAACACATCGGGACAAAACAGAGCTCTGCCTGCCACATTCGCTCCTTTTGAAGATGGTTTGCTCGAACAGTGTGTCTCGAGTGCCAGGTGAATGTCAACATTGACGACAATGGATGGGTCAACGTGACTGATCTGTTGCATTCGGCCGCTTAGCTTGCCGTGGCTTGCAGAAAGGAGATATCTAGTCCAGGCCTGTATGCAACCTGTGAGCCAAGGACATCCTGTCCACCACCACCGAGGATAAGCCGTTGCCTGAGCCGACACAGCTCTGAGTGGTGTCTGCGGGTCTTCCAGCCAGGCTTCTAGCAATGATCAACGAGTCCAATGTGCAGAAGACTCGCTACGAAATGGAAGATGACCCGAATGCCGGGCTTGTGCTTGCTTCCTTCAGCTGTGCGTCGACTGCTTGTGTTCTTCACTTGGGAAAACTGGGAACGAGTGGTCAGACCGCAAACATGTTCTCTGGCGCAGGGCGGCAAACGAATCAGGGCCATCAGCAAAAGCAGAAGCCCAATCGGCCGTTGTCTGTTTTCTGCAAGCGGTGCTTCAGACTCTGTGGGATGACGTCTGCATCCAAAAAGCTTGATGGAACTGAGGTCGTCGCAATGCTGCGCAACGAGAGATAAGAGAGCAGGGACCTTGGACCACCGCCGCTTTGGAATGAACCGACTGCCCTGTGCTGGTTGTCGTCTTAAGGAGGGAGCGCCGCGAAAGGGAGAAGCGAAGAGAGGAAGGCCTGGGCACTGAGCTAGAGGTCTGCTTGCTCGGAGCTTCAAAGCTTTCCAGCACCAGATCTGAGATCATGCGTTGGAGGTGCTCCTGTGCTCTGCAAGTGCGTGATTTTGGATTTTAGACGTCGCTTTTTTGCAGCAGCTGCTCCGTCACCTTTTGTGCTGCAGACTTTCCTGTGGCTCTTGTGGCTGTGGCTGCTATCAGGGCTGTGTCTGGGTGCTGCAAAGGCTTGACTCTACCCCTCACTGCAGCACTTGAAAGATCTGTGTGTGAACATCGGCGGTCTCAGGGGTTTTCACGTCAGTTGCCGGACTGATGTTGCCTAAGCGAAAGTACATCAACTACGTGCCTCGACCTTTTCCCTCCGAAGGTTCAGCCAGGCAGAGCAAGATACTGCACCGCAGGGCAGTCGATGTCGACGGCACGTCCGCCCGAAGAGCCTGACAAGACGCGACGTCTTTCCTGGGTTGTCATGCCTTCACTTTTGTTTGCTGCCGTGTGGTTACCTCATCCGAAGATCTTCTTTCAAATCCCGGTTTGTAAGGCCAGGTTATGTGTGGTGGTCGTCGTATTGTGGCGCGTCAGGTGAAATCCAAAACTCTCTGATGGCATTGAAAATGCTACTTTCTCATCTGCACCTCTGCTCCAAGCCTGTAAACCCCGAGCTTCTGAGTCGCAGGAAGGCCGGTCAGGCAGATCTGGTTTGCAGCTACTATCAGTCTATATCGAACAAATGCATTGGTTTTGACACGTTATTACACTTATTTTAAGTTAAAGGACACTGTCCAGGTTTCAGTTGCTTTAAGTGGCATGGCAGACAAGTTGTCTACTTCACTCTGCAAGTCACTGCAGAAGACCGTTGAGCACGGAGTGGCTACTAACAGGACCATTTGCGTTGAGTCTCGAGCGCTTCTTTGTGACATTCCTGCCAGATGCTCGGGAACGAGAAGCTAGGGATCGCGAAACGTGGGAATCTGAGCATCTTAAAAGAGGGTCGTAGAAGTGCAGCTCTCTCTCCACTCGCCTCTCTCTGTCTCTCTTTCTCTCAATCTCTGTCTCTGTCTCTGTTTCCAGGCGCGAAAAGGAACGACAAGACCGTGATCAAAATCCTAGGGATCCAGTCAGAGAGCCTGTCCGGGAGCATCGGCGCAGAGCCCATGCCTTGGGGACAGTGCATACGCGCAGTTGCACATGAATCTGCCGGCAAAGGATCAGCCCGGATGGTGGGACGATTGGCAGAGCCAGGATGGTCCTAGCTATGAGCAGCAACTGAAAGATGGCTTCTTGCCCGTTTATCAAGGCAGGCCGTCCAGAGTGGCAGATGCCGGCAGATGCCTCCCTGCGCCCTCAGGTAGCAAGTTAGTCGCGATGGCCAAGGAGAACGAAACAGTGCTGCACCTGGATGAACCTGAGCACCGCCAAGGAATCATTATCTGTCGTGCAAGGGTGCGTAACACTACGATATTGCAGCAACCCAGTATCCCAAGCAAATCTACATTAGGTGCGACCGGGAAGAAGGACGACAGGTCATGGTACGGACCTTACGGCCAAAGCAGTTGAGGCACATCTGTTTGAGTTGTTACACTTGATGCGGCCCTGTGATGAGGAAAAGGCTTTGATGCAAACAAAGGATTCGATGGAAAAGGCTTTGATGGAAAAGGCTTTGATGGAAAAGGATTCGATGGAAAGGGCTTCGACGGAAGAGGTTACGATATGCACAAGGGAGAGGGAAAAGGCGATCGCAAAGGCCGATCACAGCCAGAGATGCAGAGTTAGGAACGTGCAGTGCTCGACTTCACTGACCCAACGTTGCAAGCAGGCAGGGGAAAGGAGGACAAAGGTAAAAGCAAGTTCGGAGACGATGGGAAGGGCTTCCATCATCCGGGCAAAGGCGGCCTTCCCTCATGCTGTTCGTTTCAACGGAGAAATCCTTGAAGCAGAAGCCAGCCGCTGCTGCTAGCAGTTCCAGGTGACAGTTACAAAGGTGACGGATACAAGCCGGAGGGACATAGAACGGAAGACAAGGAGGAGGATGAACGCGGTGAGGCCAGTTCGTTGCAGAGCGCCGAGTCGCACAGCGAGCAGCCAGAACACGGCGCAGGCCCTCAAAGACAGATATCGGGGCTCCAGGCCGCGATTGCCAAGATTGGGAGCTCGAAGATCCGAACTCTTGGACAGGCAGCTTCGATGGCGGGCCGTGAATGATAAGGACATCATCGTGCGAGTCGGCCTGGGGGTGAGTGCCTCAGCACTTCACAACCAGCACATCTTGTTCGGGGCAATCGACGCTTCAAAATATCAGCCTGCGCCAGACGGAGACTGACATCGTCGGCACGCTCATGAGGAATTCCCTGGTTGCTCAGGTTGGGGAGGACAAGGCGGGCTTGTCCTTTGCGTCTGTTGATTTCTGAAACATGTCTGTCTGCTGCGGCTTTGGCAGATGCTGAAGAACGGCATTGCGCGGATGTTCATTGAGTCCATTGACCCGATCCCTGGAATCAAGGGCTGGGTCACAAGGACATGTGGGAAGGTTTGGATGGCGGACATAAGCAGTTCTTGACTCGATGTAGCTCGGGACTTCAGCTGGAGACAGGAGTGCAGAAGCTGCTGGCGGCCCCGTCTTTTTCAAGCCTGATCGCGGTGCGACCTTCAATGTGCCAAGGCATCAGACTGCGTTTGTGACGCCCATCTGTGCCCATGTTTCGTGTGTGACATGGCCGGCTGTTGGCCTGTGTGAGGGAACGCGGCAAAGATGGCAAAGGCAATAAGGGCAATCAGCAGTACGGAGGCAGATCGCGATTTAGCTCATTTCCAATCATGTTGCATCTCCGCATTGTGGAATTGTGGAGGTGAGAAAGGTGACAAAGGAGGAAAAGCTATGGATGGAAAGGCCCCGTTTTCATCGTAGCGAAGCCACTTTCAGTGAAAACCAGTTGTCAGGAAGTTGAGCTAATATCTGAATCATCGACTTGTAGCGGGCTTGCAAGCAGATCGACCTGTCTGAGTGATGCAGCACGAGTTCATGTGTGCAGCACAGCAAACTCGAAGATGCGTCAACAAAGAAACTTGTCCAGATCATTCCAAATCCATGCTACGATCCGCATCGAAAACCTGTAACCATATTGGAGCCACGCATCCAAGTCCGGGCCCGAAAACCTTTCATCCAGGCGTCTTGCGGTTGCGGAAAAGCGGCCGAAGGGGCTCCGGAAAGTTAATCAGGTTCCGACCGAAACAGGCCCCTACCTGCAACGAGGCCCAGCAGTGGACCTATCAAACAGCATCATAAACGGTTATAGGCTCAAGATTGAAGACGTCAGCCTGCCTCAGGGCAAAGCTAGAAGACCCATTGGAGAAGGTGAAACAGGTGCGTGGGCCTGGGATTCCGAGAAGCTGCCCGGCTTTCTGTGCACGCCTTGACAGTCTTTCGCAGGCACCTACAACAGGCCCATACCAGGCCGGCAGCACACCTCCAGATTGAGACCGTGTCCGGGCACATGCCATGCAGAGAGTCAGGGTAGTACTGCTGAAACCAGAGGCCCTTAGCAGGGCGCTGCGTGATCGGGAGCGCCATCCCTGAACGCGGTTTGCCGTAGAGCGTACTGCATCATACAGCTAACTGCACAACTTTACAGTCTACTACTGCACACCAACTCAGTTCCTAGTTTTAGTCTGCACTAGGAGTGAATGTGCCGTGCAAAAGCCACGTGAAAGCTTAGCTGCGAGATTTGAAATCATCGCTTCATACACCTACGCAGCGTGGTTGAACTTCGATGCACAAGCAGCAGCCAGAAGTCAGAAGGCTTCACGATTCTTTCCGAGAGGTATTCAACCATTGCCTTGGGTGTACCAGACGCTACAGCGCGTTTGCATCGAATCCACTTCCTCAAGCTGAGGTGGATGTTGTTTCTTACGAATCTCGTTCATCCTGGATGATCCCCGCCAAGACAACAGCCAATCGCAGCGTTTAGCCCAAGTCCTGTGTCAAGCTAAGAGTGCCCTGACGTGGAATCCCACCCGTGACATTTGGCAAAATATTGTCATGCAAGGCCGCTCTGTGTCACCTCAGAATTGTCGATCTGCTTCCTTGGTACTTTCAACTGACGACCGTCGAATTTCAGCAGCCATTACTGCTGCCGTAGACATCTTCCAGTTCAACTCGGAAAGTGGTGCAGCAGATCTGAGTCTCAGAGCTTGGCAGTGACATCCGATAGGCTCGATTGCTCTCTACATTCCATGTCGCCATGTTCCGTTCCGCTGCCCGATGGGTACGGAAAGTTCGCAGGAGCTTCGAACGAGTTTGGCACATCATGCTATTGTGACGGCCTTCGCTTTCTGATGCTTAGGCATTGGCAACACCTTGCCTTCGATCCACGTCAACTGCATCAAAGCTAAATACCCAGGTTCGAACCAATTGGCCTCTAGAGCTTGAAGCCGGAATACTCAAACACTTCCCACTGCTCCCTGAACTCCCCGAGTTCTGCTGGCTCCTTGATGGGAATAGTGCTGACATCAAGAGTGCATCCTTGTGACGGCAGAATATCAGGGTTTCAGCAACTGTGGCCCCGCTCGGCCAAGTCGTCAGGACAGATCCATCTCGGACCTGGCAGAGCTTCCGCGATGCAAAGGCCTTGCTGAGCCGGCTCAGCGCTTTCGTTTGCAGTGACCCCTGTGGAGGTCATCAACCCGTTCGCAGAGTACCAGTGGACCTCGCAACCATATCCGGACTACAACATGCCCAGGGTCGGCCGGCCGAGCGTTCGAGCATTCCCCAGCCAAAAATGCTTTCTCTGATGCTTTCTCTTAGTGTCAGGTAGCAGATGATGCCCGGCCTCACCGGACAGCTGTTTCGTTCTCTCTCGGTATAGCCTGTCCAAGAGAAACATCACGCAAGGACGCTCAAGGCTGTAAGCCATCATGATGAGAAGGGATGGTGGCACATCATCGATGCTAAAGGCCCGGCCTTGTTTCACTCGGCCACTTGCTTTGCAGAGTCCGCCCTTGAGGAAGAGATGTTGGCAAACTTGCGGCCTTTGCATCCCGACTTCTTCAGGGAAAGCACCGCTCCAGACCTACTTGGCTTTTTGGGGCCAGGAGGGGTCGCATGCAGAACGTTCTCGTGTGCGGTGCGCAACGCTCTTGCCTGGTGGATGTGGCCCAAGCTATTGTAGTTCCTTGGGCAGAGTGTGACTAGAAGCCTCGGGCTCACCTTCTCACAATGAGCAGCGCGCTCAAAAATGAGATGTTGGACACAGGGAAGATAGAAGCACTGATTTTTGGCGGATTCTGCATCGGTGGGAGCTTGCTGATCGCCCACTTAGTGTTTGGCAAGTCCGCCAAAAAGGCAGGTGGCCGCGTGGAGAAGGTTTTCGTGGAGTTTCAGAGGAAGGCCTTCCACATGATAGGTGGCTGCATCATCTGCGTGTGCTATCACTGGGGGATCAAGCGTCAAGTCTTGAAGCCGGCCTACTTGGGCGACAGCGAGAGCACCGCCAGTACGGCGATGGACGCTGGCGCCGCCTTCCTGGCCGTGTCTTTGGTTTGTTGGGTCATCGAGGCGGCGCGTCTCTGTGTCCCCTCCGTCCAGGCCTGGTACCTGAAAACCTTTAAAGGCTTGATTCGACAGAAGGAGCATAACAAGGCAGCCGGGATTGCGTACTTCCTTCCGGGCGCACTGGCCGCCATGCTTGCAGCACCTAGCAATTTTGCGATTTTGGGCATTCTGTTCCTCTCGGTGGGCGATGCAGCTGCCTCGATTGGTACAGCTTTCGGCTACATTCCAGTTTTCAATTCTGCTCGGAAAGTGGAAGGAAGCATTGGCTGCTTCACGGTTTGCCTGGCCCTCGCCGTGTACGCTGGGCTTTCACCAGGAGTATCCTTGATAGCTTCCGTGTTTGTGACTCTAGGGGAGGTTCTGGCAGAAATCATTGGCCTTGATGACAACTTCGTGATCCCAATGCTTGGAGTGCTCGGTGTGCGCATCGGGCTCTACCCACAACTTGGCCAGATGGCTGGGGTTGTGTGTGTGGGACTGGGCCTGGGTGTAGGTCTGGCAGCCATTGTCGGTGCCACGACAGCAAAGGAGTCAAAGTGACACACAGGCCCCCCTGGCCACTCAGCTGGATCGTTGATTTGTGAAGTGCTGCATCCGTCGCCTTCGGACTTTCAACGGGAATCTGGGGTGAACAGTCCCACTCACATCGTTTTACTCACTCCATACTGGACCAGAAGATGCTGTGTCCATGACGACTACAGAAACCTGTGTCGTCGTTTCTTACATTGTTGCTGCACCAATTCACAAGAAGGCAACCAAAAGGTAGTGCCACCATCTGCAAGCACAGGTACGGGCTGGTAACGTACGGGCGTTCACACCAGCTGGCAGGTTCCTGAAGTGAACAGAAGTAAGTTCATCTCAAGTTGGTGCCCCACAAATGTCTGTTTTTGGCATCGTCAGGAAACTCCAGAGCCCATCATGCCCAAATCCGTGGAACTGTGCGGCATGAGTTGAAAAAGGTTGTGTCGCGACAGGCACGGTATAGAGTGACATGTCATGAAAGGAAGGTGTGCTGTTAGCTTTTATGAGCAGTCTTACTTTCTTGTTTCAGCATATGACCCGATTGCATGCAAAGGCTGCGACTATGCGCCAGATCGGGTAAAAGGTGCTGGCATTGTTTGCTTTGCACGAATGAAGGTTGTCCATTGAGAACGCTTGTCGCAGCTTTTCAACGCTTCCGTGGCAGGTGATTCCGTGATAATCGTGAACGCAATCCACCTGCATTTCCCTGGCCATACCTGGGTCTGCCCAAGCACGTTGTTTGCTCCCATCAACTGCGCCATCGGGCTAGTCACAACTTGTGCATCCAACGTCATCCGACTGTGAGGACACGAAGATCTACAGATTCTACCGAAACAGTTCCTTGCCATGACAGTGGGCCTGCATCATGCGCAGTGTCGGTCATCGACGGTTTTGGCAAGTCGGCAGGAGGAAGTTGAGGGGGCGTAGCGCAATGAACAAGCCGTCTGTCCAGCCGTTTTCATCATCGAACCTCTGACTAACCTCTGTTCTCGTTGCAGCCATTGAATACCGGCAATTCTACGGTCTTAGGCCTGTCGTTCCTGTCATCTTCCTCGCGCTTTTCGTGCTAGCAACATCTAGCAACGGTTTCAAGTTTCATGCTTGTAAGGAAAGACGGATCCTCGAGGACCCAAGGCAACGCTTCCGTACCTCGACGTCTTTCGAAAAGCCAAGCCCAGCCTTCCGCGCAGGTCGTCACAGCTACCAGATTGATGATGTTGAACCCTTCAATCGTTATCTCGCAGGCCTGATGCGACGCCATTGTTTTACGATTCCGTTCAGTCTGCTCTGATCTGAGCAACTCTGTTGGAGTTTGATTGCCACCTCGTGCACAGGCAGTCAAGGGCATGTTGCCGAAAAACCTTTTGCGGCCGAACTGGCTGCGAAGGTACTTCCGGGTGAGACCACCGGATTGCTCGAGCAGCAAAGCAACATGATACATACTAGTATTACTAGTAGGCAGCAATGCCTGTGCGGCTCTTGCGGCGTCTGGGTCATCTGATCTTCGAGCACCCCTGACCGCATGGAAAGGTTGTACTGCTATCCGGGAGCCATCCATCCGTTCTCGCCTCAACTTGAACACGTCCGAGCCGGGCGAACGGAACATTGCTGAGGCACTGGGGAATCCCGCAGGTGATTGTGCCGGCTCAGAGAGGGTCAGCCCCCCAAACTGCCTTTAGCGAGACATGAGTTGCAAGCCGATATTCTGTGTCGATGGAGGCCTGAACTTTCGCCGGATGCATTCACTGTACAGGATGCCGAGGCAGATGTGCATGAACTAAGGGAACAGATTTGCCGTGTGGCCTTCAAGATCTTGCACCGCAGGTGCCGGATTCCATACCGGACAAGTGAGCCCTGAGCCTGGAGCCTCGTGTTTGGAGCTTTGCGGTTTCTGACTCTGCTTCCTGGTCCATGCACCGAAGATGCGATGGTTTCGGTGCGCCAAGTGAAGAGCGAGATGTTTGAGAAAAAGGTGTGGGAAGTGCATCAGGGCCTTCGAGCCACGGCAACCAAGCTGTTCTCGTAGCAGACTTCAGGTTTCGCACTGGGGGATATTGCGAGGTTGTGCAGAGCAAATCAGCTGGTGTCCAGACGTGGCCGACGCAGCCGATGCCTACAGCCCTCTTGCAAGATGCAGCACTGTGGAGCAACGAGAGTCAGATGATTACAGACTCCGCTAGCAACTTCCAGCATCAGCCCAAAACGAAATCGGCTAGGACGAGGCAGCAGATTCCTAGTTTTGCCAGATCATGGCAGACGCGAAGAAGGACGTGCATCAGCTTTAGTCTGCTCTTTCAGAATGTGCCATTTAACATCTGGCGTCGAAGCATTCTGCTTTGTTGGCTAGAACCTGTCGCTTAAGACTTAAGATGCTGTACTCCTGCGAACAAGCAGGTGAAATGTGGGCTCGGTTAATTCATTGCTGCACAACCTCAAACTTTGCAACATGTTGCGGACGTAGCATGTGTGCGAAGCTCTTCGTAGCAACAGAGCCCAGGAGACAAAGAAGGACGTTGACCTGAAGCCCACTGCGACAGCAGTGAAGTGCGCAGCTGCTGCCAGCAGCTTCTCGTTGCTTCTCAGATGGGAAGAGGTACATCTGCGGAAAGTGTGGTGCATTGAACGAGATAAAGCCAACCGACGTCATTCGATGTCGCGAGTGCGGGCACCTCCGCGGCACAAGGGGAGTCCAAGAAAAAGGGTGCATCGCAGTCGGAATCCAAGGTATCGGATCCTCTTCAAGATGCGGAGCAGCAAGCCGATGCAGTACCAGGCCGGCCGACAAGTCACGTCACAGGTTGCGTCTCTTAGTCTCACGAGGCGATTTGACACGGTCTGAGCTGGGCTAGACCCGACTCTGAGATAGCGTTACGAGCTACAGGCGGAGCTTTCGATCTCTCGTGAAAAAAGACGCGGACGGCATCGGAGCATAGCGGAGCCTTGAACACGTTGTAGCACCACCCGCTTTTCGACCCGCTCTGCAGGGACTCGCGGGGGCGGGAGGGGACTCGCGGGGGGGGCTGGGGGGGGCCTTGATGTCCTACGAGAAGTTCAGCGCCATCAAGGCGAAGGCTGAGATTGAAACGCGACGCTCACGCTCTTTTGCGGGCCATGGGGAAGCAGAAGTTCCTTTCTCTTCAGGTTCAGGGGGCCTTTGATGACGTTGAGGCTTGGATTTTTCAGGCCAGGCTGCAGCCTGTCTCAGAGCCTTGGGGGTTGTCTTTTTGGTGATTGGAACTGAGAGGCCTTCGAGGGGCGAGTACAGGATCTGGACATCGACGAGGTGCCGGAAACATAGACATGACCGACATGACCTGTCACTGCCAGGGCCGGAAAAGTGTCCTCAGGACCTGGAACTAGAACTTGCGCAGCGACGACGTGGAATGCGCTTCTTTGCTGCAGGACGTGCCAGGCCCGTCAAGCACAGACAGATGTTGCTTACCGATTCTTGCAGATTATCTTTTTACTCGGGTGCAGGGACGGAAAGCGCTTCGCATCCATTCTCTTTCCGAACCTGTCTCAGATCCGCTGCTTCTTTCGATCCCAGGGACTTTCTTACTAGTGACAAGGTTGTTCCAGGGAGATCCCAACAAGGATCTCTACGAGGAGGCACATGGTGCCTCATCTGTGCGAGGATGCCCACTATAGATGGGGCGCTTCCAGAGGCCTTCTGCGATGTACTGCGTGTCGCCGGAAATTCGGTGAAGCCGGGGTCCAGGCTGGGAAGTCAGTCCAACTCAGAGTAGACATAAGCTCTGGCTGTAGTCCAGGGGGTCTTCGGACTTCGTGCTCCGCCCTGGAGGCATAAGCTGTCCTTTCGTGCGGGTGTGCTATTCTTCACTGCAGACAGCCTGGGCAACACGCGGGAGCCCAAGTTGCGGTAGTGATGGCCGCAGAAAGCTTCTTTCATGCGCTCTTGCAGGTATGGTGTTGTTGCTTCTGATGATTTCCCGCTTGCAAGCGCCTACAACTTTTTGGAAGAGATACTGCAGGCCGTGACCTTGCGTAGAGGTCATAGCAATTGTAGTAGCTTCGGCTTACGACTCCACAGCCCGACGATGAGGTCTACCACAGCATTGATGTCGAGATTGCATTGAATGAGGCGGAGAGCTCAGAGCTTTGGTGTTTTAGAGAGCTCCGAAGGCTGCGAATTTTCACCATTGGGAATTTGGGGAGGCTCTTTCTTGCCGCCTGCTCTGTCGGTGTGAACGTTGAGAGCCTGCTTTGCCCACTGTCGGTAAAGTAAGTTTCCAAGTCCAATGTCACCGGAACCGCCCAAGAGTCATGGGGCATTGCGAGTGTATTCGGACTCAACAGCTCAGACAGATCGCAGATGCGACAGGCAGGTGCACAGATTGAGTCAAAGAGGCACTTCATTAGTGTCGGCTAGCGAGAGTGGCTAGATGCCGTGATCGAACAGGGTATTCCAGAACCTCGGAAGCAAAGGAAGATGAAGATGCCAATGTTCTCCAAAACGAGGAGGAGTGTTTCGAATTCGTGCAATACTTGTCGGAAAGATCACTCCAGGCCAAAATCTCAAGAATTAACTACACGGAA